AATACTTATATCTGATTGTCTTACTCAGTTGCTGTGTCCTGTCTTTGAACACATGTTTACTGATTTTGGATACGAAGATCACATGATGCAGCCAGTTGCTGTGTCCTGTTTTTGAACAAATGTTTACTGATTTTGGATACGAAAATCACATGATGCAGCCAGTTGCTGTGTCCTGTTTTTGAACAAATGTTTACTGATTATGGATACGAAGTTCGCATGATGCAGTCAGTTGCTTTGGATTGATCATGCACATGTATCAGTCACAGGCAAATCACAATTATTTGGTCAAAATAAGGAAAGGAAAACATTACGCAGCATTTTTGGCTCAATTATCAATCTGACAGAATTATCATGAAAGTGTTTATTCCATCTTCACTGAAAACTGAAATGTAATCAATTTACATGATAAACTGTACACATTTATTAACCAGAATAGTTTCACACCCTGAGTGGAAAAAAAATACACGTAAATTATCGTCCATGAGCCAGATCTGTGGAGAAACTGAGGACAGCAAGAAAGAGAAAGCAACCCAAGTAAATTTAAATTATTTTACCTGAAATTTTTTCTAGTAACGTATTCTTTGGAACTGTCCACACTGCACGAAGCAAGAAGGCGTAATTCTTTATACATGCACACGTACATGTAGTATAAATTACAAGAATGCCTGAAGTAGGGGCGTCAAGTTCCATTTAACAGTGACTTGGCTAGACCCTTGTTGATATTGTAGAGCTCTCCAAGATTCTTCCCAGTATATAGGCTATGCACAGCAGCCATCTTCCTGGTCAGTGACTTTGTTCCATAGGGACCAATACACATAAGTAGACCTCTTGTGCATATCCCCCATGATAACAGAAGCACTGACCAGGAAGATGGCTGCCATTGACAACCTCTAGTGCTGGATTTTCAAAGAAGTATTGTTGGAGTTCAAAATTTCAAATAAAGCTTTAGTTGCTCTCTGTTTTCTCTGATCATGTTAGAACTGGCCAAGGGGAGAAGATTCCCATCCCAGACAACTCAGTCTCCCTGGTAACCTGCTTCCAGGCTGCTCATTGGTTGGACTATACAGCCTATTGCAAGGAGGTCGATCGTGTTTTACAGCCATCTGGTTGCATGGCTGTCTGCACGTATGGAAACTTTGTACCAGAGGCTTGTGATGGTGACAAGACAAAAGATGCAAGATTGCAGAAATTGCATACTGATGTAAGTAGGTAGTTACATACGAACTTGTGCTTTTAAACACCATGTTGAAGAAATTACTTGCCTTTTGCAAGTTCAGTTTGAATAAACCCTGATACAGTGTACACTGAATTCTTTAAAAGCACATAAACATAATTTGAATTTTCTCTACGAAGGACACTATTGCTATACCTCGTTATTCCGGGCAAGCTTTTGCTTAGTCACATAAGAGACACCTTGCACCAGTACACTTTTTTAACAGATAGGAAGGGCACAAAGAAACCAGTCCATTCCAGAGATGGTGGTCGCTATGCAACAGCTTGCCCCAAATCATGAGTAATAAAAACAGTGTCTTTAGTCTGGGGAATTCAAATTATGTGTTTGTGCAATCAGGTAACTCAGTGTACCAGATTTTATTCCAATTTAATTTGCAAAAGGCTTATTGCCTTTGACAATACAAATAATAGTTTTTCCTAATGACTAGCTGACAGAGAATTAATCGTGCCGTTAAGTCAGAAATTCTAATTCTAAAATTGGTGCTGTCAAACATTGCATTATTCTCTTGGATGGGAAATGTATTTAGAGACAAGGTTTCCTACACGGGGACACTAGACTTAAAAATGCACCCTTCAAATTCTTTTAAGGGCGAGATTGTATTTAGCTCACGCAGAAAGAATCGTTTCTTGCTGAAAAAATGTCCACAAATACTTCATGAGGCCAATGGTTGTAGATTCCCTTCCAAAGCAGAGTATGGGATGAGGGACATGCAGTTTGAAACCGAGCTTGTCAAATTAATCCCAAACCCATGTTCAAAGTGAGGACGGAATTTTAAAGAATTGTCACGGTCACATTGTACCCTGTGACAAAAATTCGGTCGTCGAGTAATATGGAGAAAAGGGAAATGATGTCAACAAGAATTTATCGCATCTCCAAAACCCTTCATATCAGTTTCAAAAACAAAATCACGTCTGATTCCTTTGCAGGGGTTTAACCCAGATGTCCTTTGGACATCCTGTCACATTCCTCATCCAGGAATTTTGATTCTGTTACCCAAGGCGCGACAAATCACCACGCCTTATTTTTAAATGCTGACTGAATCCTCAATGCATGCATGTAATGGCGACATATATCAAGAGGTCGATCGAAAGTTACAGGTTATTCATTCATCAAAATATTGTGTCATAACCAAGGTAAAACTAAAACAGGGTAAAGGTGTATTTCGTGATAGGGAAAGAGTTCCATACATGGACGCTACTCGACACCCTGTGCACAAACCCTATGAGACTGGTCTTAAATTTTTTAGAGTATTTTCTATGTAAAGGACGTCGTTTTTTCCCTCCTAAATCGAACTGTTCTGGACATGTTTTTGCTTTCTAATGGCCAATAGGTCACTGTAGGGAGTAATTACTGGCGTCCATATATGGAACTCTTCCCTATAATAGAATTCCAGAAATGATGATGGTCAAATTGAATGGTTAGGCACTGACAGATTGAAGAATGTGGATTAAGGACGACCATGATGAAACACTGTTGCCTGGATATGCAGGCCAGAACCAGCTACAAAAAAGAACACATTTAACTCACAGAACTGTAGAGACCACTGAACGCCTTGAAGCGAAGTTATGGTGGTGGTAATTACATGAACATTCAACCGAGCTTCGACCCATGTCCTGAAAGATTGACTTCGAACCCCAAATGCAGGGCACCATGCAACACCGTGGCCCGGTCGCAAACTGCACATTGCGAACGGCTTCGAGAGGGCTTTTTATTTTACAAGTCAGGTTCATAAACAATGTGAAAGGAATTCGTCGTGGACAATATAAAGAGCAATTACGTAACTCTAAGCCAGGAGTCGCTAACACAATCAGATTTGACAACGAAGGATGTAACGGGAACCCAAGTAACCATAGACAAAGCATTGAATGGGTTTGGAGCAATCAAGCCTAGGATATATAACAGAATCAAATTTACTTTACTATGGCGTTGGAACGTTTCTATTTTACCCTCTTTTTCTCTGTCTCGTTTCTACCACAGTTTTACAGGGGCGCATTACTCGGACCTCATTGGGATGATCGTCGAAAACACATTGATAACCTGTACGCTGAATTCAGCATTCCTTACCAAGGTAGCATCAGGTATGGCCTATCAGATGGTCTGGTAACAATCACTGGAACTTGAACACGGAAATGGTAACAAAATGGGCACAACTAACTGATCGTCATTAGGCGCTTCTTATCGTCACAAGGCCGATAAGAACACAGTAGTACATGTTCTTAGGTTTCTTATCTGAAGACAGAATTCAATTTGTTTCAAAACCAAAATAATTTTGCCGCCTCTTTTCCTTTGGATCTCCTGATGATACGAACAGAAAGAGAAGTATTGTTCTGTTTTTGAAGCTTCACTAATGTTCTGTAAAAAACAATACGGGAACTGAATTAGCGATGCATCTTCCATGGTATGAAGATGGATTACTTGTACAATTCTCTGAAGAGTCTCTGAAGACATTTTTGAAGATAGCAACAATCTTGCACATCAAGAGTTCTTTAGTGATAACATAATACTTGGAAGTGAGCACCAAATGTTTTAAGTGCACACAACTGAATTCATTTTATTCTTCATCATTTTCAGTGTCATTAACGCTTCGCTCTTATTTTTGGCAGAGACGATAGTCTCCAATTGGTTTGGGAGATGAATGTGCCATCATACATTGGTTACCTCAGTTCCTGGTCAGCCTTACGTACCTGCTTAAAAAAGAATCCCAGTAACCCAAACCCTTTGGATGAATTCCAGGACAGGTGCGAATCAATCTTGGTGCCTCTTTGGTTTTTAAAATACAGCACCCCATTATGCATGCAAACTAAACGAGTTTCTGAAATAATGAATATCGCTTACCAGCTATAATGACCGAACAAAGCATTACCTCAAACTTAGCATTTACGTTAAATTAACAGTAAATCAGAAATGTGGCGATTTACTTGTAAAATGTAGCTTTTATAATTTGGTATAGGTTGAAAGAAGTCTTGGATGCCCAGACTGAGCTTGAGCAGATCAAAGTCCGGCTGAAAGCACCGATTGTGTTACTCCTTGGAAGAAAACCGCTGCCATAAGAGGAAATCAAGGAATGGATAAAGGCACATAGGGTTTGTGCTATTCTATGTGCACTTGACTGTATTGAATATATGTCTTTGACGACTTGGTGCGCGTAGCCCACTGATGATGATAATGGAAAGACAGGTTACTATGTTTATTACTCGCTATATTTAAAAAGGCTTCCAATGTTAATACGCTTGATACAGCCGTGGAGTAAAGAAAGATTTGTATTCAATTGCAGATTTACTTTTTAGACCCTTTCACATGGACTACGGCTCTCGAATGATTTCACGTAGATTCAGCAGTTTAAACCTCAGAGTTCATTTCTGGGAAAGAAACCAAGTGATCTCAAATATTCTTTGATCCGACATATAGTACCTTATGTTCTCCCACAAATGATTCTCGTTTTGAGTAAGAATTGCGAGTTTTGTCTTCGAAATGCTCAGTTTGCAGTCTGATATAAACGCAAGCTGCGTTACAATAGTTTCAACTGCAGTTTCGTTTCTGTGGTAATTTTTAAAAATTGCCTTACAGACTCTCCTGAGTAAAAGACGAAAAGCAAACACACATACATGAATAGGTCCGATAATGAGGGAGTGTTGACTGCAGATAGTTCCTCGTTAATATCTACCGATGAATTACTCCAAAATCTTAACAAAATATACAAGGACTTCGCACTTAAAGCACTGAATCGTGGAGGAAATTCACCAGCTGTCGCCACGTTTTCTTGGACTGGCGTCCCTCGTTACAGCTTACTTACTTTGGTGTGTATTAATACAACTTGAGTCATTGTGACAGTACATGTTCAATGCACGTGTATTTGGTGTCAACGTTTGTCAGTTATTCGTTATCAGTCATCTAATATCTAAACAAAGGCTCATCTTTGTGACTGTTATCTCGCCACCAGAGCATCAAATTAGACCGTGTCCGAATGACACAGCTGCGGCTAGCCATAGCACGTAGGTCTATGAGAAATGGCTGCAGGCTGTGGCCAGTGGCCCCCGTAGACTTACCGGTATGCTTTATTTGTAGCCATGGCCAGATTATTTGGACATGGGATTGATTTAGCTCACAGGTCATAGAATTTAGGAATTTCCGTTCATACCCCCAGCTTTGCACCGATGTGCGCTGTCTGCTCCAGTGTACATATTTGGTAATAATAAAGTTCCAAACAGTCATGTTAAATCTAATACGGCAGCAATTACTAAAAATGTTCCATTTTATGAATTATCAGAGTGAGCACTTTTTCTCGTTGTTTTGGCTGCTCTTATCGGTTCCTTGTGGTTTGTTCAAAGTAGCAGGTGCTCATAATCGCGAATTAATATTGCCAGCTACATTCGAGATCCGGTTTTAGTCGGTATTTATCACAATAAAAATAAAAGGAAATTAAAACACGCCGAACTCCGTCAAAAAATGGAATACATCAAATACATTGTAACAGTTACTGAAAATGCTTCTCGGTGGCTGAGCGGGTTAGTACTTCCGAATGACGCCCAGATTATTAGAAACATGGTGTTTATGTTAATACTGTTGATATTGATTTTTGCAAGCTGTGACTTCGAACCCAACAGAAACAGTTCTGATTTATCACTGTTAAGTTTAAGTGAGTTCAAGCTCAACCGCACACTAACATCAGTAATGCAGGATTCTAGTCTATTATGGAGAGCACGCAAGGCATCATCTTGTTTTGGTGCAAATGACACAAAGAGCTCCACGTCATCAACATAGAGCAGTGGTAGCTGACATCATGGGACTGCAAAGCTTGCTTAAGACCACTGAAATAGATGCTGAACAACAACAGCCAACCTACAGATCCTGGACGATCCCCGTGACTGAGTTTAACAAGATCAGATTTGGCGCCATCGTCATAGACCCGCTGATGACGATCACTCAAGTATGATTTGAACCAATCAAGAGCCCTGCCGCAAATACCAAAGGATGACAGAGTGTTGGGGAGTATATAGTGATTGACCGTGTCAAACGCCGAGAGAAAAGTTGAATTTATCAATCAACAAATGATTGCACTCAATAATGTGCTGACCCCACCAGGGTACTATGATTGCGATAAATCACGCCTGGTATCGGAATCCTACATTACCCCAGAAATACTGTCTGTAAAAATGTCTGGAAATCAATTAATTCCAATTAGACTTTTGGAAACTCCATTGCATGCACGAAAACGAGTTGCGCACCTCGTCACTTTGCTAGAATGAATTGTAATAAACTTGTAGAGCCTACATTCCCTCCCACACATAGCAGGTGTACAAATGCCCCAGGGTATGAACACCATGTGCAGCCGTACTCTGGACAACCAAGGCAGGTACAATTATGGGGCCTACCAACACACGAACAATACCTTGGACAGCCAGTAAAGGACCAACACCCCGGGATGCCAGAACAGGACCAGTACTCTGGATACCCAGGAAGGGACCAGTACTCCAGATGACCAGGGCAGGACCAGCACCGTGGACATTTAGGGCAAGATAAAAACGTTGGACAAACAGCAAGGCCAAGGATATTCTGGACACTGAACTTGCTTCCTGTACGCTTTTAATGGGAAGATAGAATATTCAGAACTTTGCCTTACTTTGAAATGGATAAAATTAGATTTTACAATTGCGCAACTGTTGTTTTTCCTAGTTCTGAAATTTCTCGTTTGAGTGAATACCAAATATGACATTACGCCAAAAGAGGTAAACAGCGACAAAATGCACATCTAAACAGATGAAACAAATGGTATTTCATTTGCATGCAGTTCACAGGCACATGCACGAAGATATTCAACCAACCCTACTAAGTGACGGGTCCATGTAACTCAGAACTGCACGGGACGTATATGTAGTGGAATGAGCCGTTGTTCAATTACTGTGTAACGATATAGAGTATCTCGATGCTCTCCCTCCATTAACGGAAGTTCTGAAGTGAACATTCTGGTTTCCAACTTCACGCAGTGTTAGCTTGTCGACGACAGTACCTCATAGAATATTGACGAAAGTTAACATTTGAAATGAATGTTGTCATGGGACTAAAGTCAATCACCTTGTTAAACCCTACAAAATCCAGGGCAGAAACCGCCCCAACTTTTTTACCGAAATCACAGCAGTGCATTTTTTCACAATTTAGGACTTTTAAAGTTACTATTTGTTGTGATTTTGACATCACTTTTGAGAAAATCGAACCAACCGTTCGATTATCTGTGTACTGCCCATTTTTTCCGAGACAGGTCAGCCAAAATATGTATCCACTTCCGAGGTCCATGCACGCCGGCTGGCACACGTGTGGCCTTCGTCTGCATATGACCGTTACAACCAAACCAGAAGGAGTTGGAACTCCACATTTATAATATACACTAAAACATTTGAATATGCTGTCAGTTCTATTTTGTTGTATATTAGCAAACATTGATCTGACCGGCGCAGTGGCGTAGCCAAGCTCCTCAACGAGGGTGGGGCAGGGGAGAAGAGTTCCGGGGGGTTGCCTCCTAGCCTCCTGGGGCTACGCCACTGCATCGGTGGCGGGTGGATCTTTGCTGGAATCCACCGACTAATATATGCCAAATTCTTGAATTGTCCGAATTGTTCTTGAATTCTTGCGATGACGTGCGTATTTTGCAATGATAGTTTGTATGGTACAATAGGGCCTAGGCCTATGTACGGCGAGTAAGAATGGCACCACAGGTCGCAGTAATCAGTGATACATTAACCAGGTGAAAAATAACTCCCATCACGTGACACAATTTTGCTAAATGTACCCTGAACCTAACCATAAAGCTACGAACCTCTATGACTTAACCAAGCATCGATTCAGGTCAAAGGTCTTAAGATGTGGAAATTCCCGTTGATTTCTGCTTACGTCTACGCCCCCAATCCGAACAGTTTCGAACAGTTTCGAAGTGCAAAACTACTGCTTTTGGACAGAGTTTTTCTGAACTTGTTCGCAACTCTTATTACTGGTGAGTTTTAGACATTTCTTTGTCAAAGACCTTATTATGGATCTTGTCACAATGGGCAAGTTGATACATCCCTTCAGCATCCTGCTTCGAAAATTTCGCAAAAAAAACCCTCAGATTTGGTTAACGCTGTCGACAACAAATCTGACTTTTTGCTACCAGCTTTAATTTATAAATTCAAATGAACCATATGCAATGATGAACATTTGTTATGACGTGCATTTTCTCACCACATGGTTTCTTTTTCATCCAAATGGGTCAACTCAGGCACAGAGCAGAAACAGCAGACACAACAGACTGAAAATCTTCATCCATTTTTATGTCCGTGCCGAGATCAAATTATGCAAACGGTGATTTAAACCATGATTTTAATCAGCGGTTTAAATCGCGATTGAAATCATTTTTTTAAATCACTGATTTAAATCGACATTTTTTTTTTGTTTGGAAAAAGGCAAATATGTTTCAATTTAAATTCGTTTAAACTGATTTTTTTGCAGGTTGTGCACATTTTAAACAACAATTACCCCTTCTGTCAGCCTTTCAATTCCCATTGTTGATAAAAAGTATGAATGCACATGTGTTACAGGCTGGGTTGGCAGGACGTTTTGTTCAATTCAATCCACTTGTTCATTTCAATCCAGCTTAAAATCAGCTTTTTGGATTCAGTGATTAAATTTGATGTGAAGGATATATTATAATGTATTAATTTCACTTCATTTAAATTACCCACTTTTGACGTGAAGAAATATCAGTGTACATCAACATTTTGTTTCTGCATGTATATGTTTATTTTATTAAGATTATAAATGTTGGTCATTATGCAGTGAAACTAAAACCAGCAACAATATAGTGTTTTTAATCAAGTGATTTTAATCAAGCTTTAAGTAATTTCTCTATTAATCACAAAGGAGCTGGATCAAAAACAAAAGGAAAGTACTTTTTGTGCGTTGTTGCAGTACGTTTTCTGTGTTTTTAATTCCGATATTTTTCTATTAAAAAGTACAAAAAATTAGTGAGATATTTCTCTTTAATTTTGATATTAGTAATAAACAAGTTACTACAATGATGATGTATGTGGCAACTTTTTTCTGATATTTAAAGAGTGTCGCATTCTTTGTTTTATCGACATCGTTAAATGAAACTGCAACATCTTTGGAAAGCACTTAATGTGCTGAATAACTTTTNTGTTGGGGAGTATATAGTGATTGATCGTGTCAAACGCCGAGAGAAAAGTTGAATTTACCAATCAACAAATGATTGCACTCAATAATGTGTTGACCCCACCAGGGTACTATGATTGCGATAAATCACGCCTGGTATCGGAATCCTACATTACCCCAGAAATACTGTCTGTAAAAATGTCTGGAAATCAATTAATTCCAATTAGACTTTTAGATCCTCCACTGCATGCACGAAAACGAGTTGCGCACCTCGTCACTTTGCTAGAAGGAATTGTAATACACTTAAAGAGCCTACATTCCCTCCCACACATAGCAGGTGTACAAATGCCCCAGGGTATGAACACCACATGCAGCCGTACTCTGGACAACCAATGCAGGTACAATTATGGGGCCTACCAACACACGAACAATACCTTGGACAGCCAGTAAAGGACCAACACCCTCGGATGCTAGGACAGGGCCAGTACTCTGGACAATCACGGCAGGACCAGTACCCTGGACAATCAAGGCAGGACCAGTACCCTGGACAATCACGGCAGGACCAGTACCCTGGACAATCAAGGCAGGACCAGTACCCTGGACAATCAAGGCAGGACCAGTACCCTGGACAATCAAGGCAGGACCAGTACCCTGGACAATCAAGGCAGGGCCAGTACCCTGGACAATCAAGGCAGGACCAGTACCCTGGACAATCAAGGCAGGGCCAGTACCCTGGACAATCAAGGCAGGGCCAGTACCCTGGACAATCAAGGCAGGACCAGTACCCTGGACAATCAAGGCAGGACCAGTACTCTGGATACCCAGGACAGGACCAGTACTCCAGATGACCAGGGCAGGAAAAAACGTTGGACAAACAGCAAGGCCACGTATATTCTGGACACTGAACTTGCTAACTGTACGCTTTTAATTGGAAGAAAGAATATTCAGAATTTTGCCTTACTTTGAAATGGATGAAAATTACATTTTACAATTGAGCAACTGTTGTTTTTCCTAGTTCTGAAATTTCTCGTTTGAGTGAATACTAAATATGACATTACGCCAAAAGATGTAGAACAGTGACAAAATGCACGTCTAAACAGATGAAACAAATGGTATTTCATTTGCATGCAGTTCACAGGCACATGCTCGAACATATTCAACCAACCATACTCAGTGACGGGTCCATGTAACTCAGAACTGCACGGGAGGTATATGTAGTTGTGGAATGAGCCGTCGTTCATCAATTATTGTGTAACGATATAGAGTATTCGACCTTGTTTCCTTCATCGTTAATCTTTTTGATTTCAAATTCCTGACGCACTATAGAATCCTGACCGGTGCAGTGGCGTAGCCAAGCTCCTCAAAGAGGGAGGGGCAAAGGAGAAGAGTTCCGGAGGGGGGGAGTTGCCTCCTAGCCTCCTGGGGCGTAGCCGGCTACGCCACTGCATCGGTGGCGGGTGGATCTTTGCTGGAATCCACCGACTAATGCATGCCAAAATTCTTGTTTTGTCCGGTGTATTTCTTGTGATGACGTGCGTATTTCGGAATGACAGTTTGTATGGTACAATAGGGCCTAGGCCTATGTACGGCAAGTAAAAATGGCACCATAGGTCGCGGTAATCAGTAAATGCATTAACCTGGTGAAAAATAACTCCCATCACGTGACACAATTTTGCCAAATGAACCCTGCACTTAATCATAGAGCTACAAACCTCTATGACTTAACCAAGCATTGATTCAGTTCAAAGGTCTTAAAATGTGGAAATTCCCGTTGATTTCTACTTACGTCTACGGCCCCAATCCAAATAGTCTCGAACAGATTCGAAGTGCAAAACTATTGCTTTTGGACCGAGTTTTTCTGAGCTTGTTCGCAACTCTTATTACCGGTTGGTGAGTATTAGACATTTCTTTGTCAAAGACCTTATTATGGATCTTGTCACAATGTCTCAATGGGCAAGTCGATACCGTCCCTTCAGCATCCTGCTTCGACAATTTCGCAAAAAAACCTCAGATTTGGTTAACGCTGTCGACAGCAAATCTGACTTTTTGCTACCAGCTTTAATTTATAAATTCAAATGAACCATATGCAATGATTAACATTTGTTATGACGTGCATTTTCTCACCACATGGTTTTTTTTTCATCCAAATGGGTCAGGGCACAGAGCAGAAACAGCAGACACAACAGACTGAAAATCTTCATCCATATTTATGTCCGTGCCGAGATCCAATTATGCAAACGATGATTTAAACCACGTTGATTTTAATCAGCGGTTTAAATCGCGATTGAAATTTTTTGAAATTACTGATTTAAATCGACATATTTAATTTTTTTTTTGGAAAAAGGCAAATATGTTTCAATTTAAATTCGTTTAAACTGATTTTTTTTGCAGGTTGTGCACATTTTAAACAACAATTACCCCTTCTGTCAGCCTTTCAATTCCCATTGTTGATAAAAAAGTATGAATACACATGTGTTACAGGCTGGGTTGGCAGGACGTTTTGTTCAATTCAATCCACTTGTTTCGCTTTAAATCAGCTTTTGGGATTCAGTGATTAAATTCGATGTGAAGGATGCATTATAATGATTTAATTTCACTTCATTTAAATTGCCCACTTTAGAGTTTGACGTGAGGAAATATCAGTGTACATCAACATTTTGTTTCTGCATGTATATGTTTATTTTATTAAGATTATAAATGTTGGTCATTATGCAGTGAAACTAAAACCAGCAACAATATAGGGATTTTAATCAAGTAATTTTAATAAAGCTTAAGTAATTTCTCTATTAATCGCAAAGGAGCTGGATCAAAAACAAAAGGAAAGTACTTTTTGTGCGTTGTTGCTGTACGTTTTCTGTGTTTTTAATTCCGATATTTCCAATTAAAAAGTACAAAAAATTAGTCTCGGCTGAGATATTTCTCTTTAATTTCGATATTAGTAATAAGCAAGTTATTAACAGTGATATACGTGGCAACTTTTTTCTGATATTTAAAGAGTGTCGCATTCTTTGTTTTATTGACATCGTTAAACGAAACTGCAACATCTTTGGAAAGCACTTAATGTGCTGAATAACTTTCA